ACCAACGAATAGTACGATTGATTGTCACATTATAATGCCCCCACGGCTAAAAGGGCGAGCATGTTTGGTGCGACGGGGATTCGAACCAGCGACCCTCAGATTGCGAGTCGAGCGCCCTAACCACCTGGCCATGCCGGGCACATTACTGCTAATTTCAACTCATTCTGTAAATCAATTATCCTAATAAAAAAATAGAATTGGCTTAGCTGCAGCCTAGCCTGTCTGATCCAAATCTTAAATTTGTGTTCTCTCATCTCATTCTCTTCCTAATATATCATAAAAAAATGATAGGCCTTTATCCTATAAACTTTCTGGATAATCTTGTAAACTTCAATAACGTTACCTTTTCTTAAGAGAAAATAAGTTGAGATCTTCACCTATCCCTACAGAATAACCTTTCTATTTCCAGAAGCATCCTAGTAATCCTCCTCTGGAACCTTTTCAATAAGTTACAATTCTTTCTTATATATAAGAAGACATGAAGTGTATAAAGTATTCTAGATAAAGCCTAATTAATGATTTGTAAAAAGAGATAATTATTTCTTTTGACTTGTAAATCAATATCTCTATAAATATACCCCAAAACTGTATTAGCTTATGACTTGCAACCAAGCACTGCTTTGACAGCTTGAATGATTTATCCACAACTGCCAAGATCCTTTTCTTCAGTTACACTAATGAGTGGGTTCCCACCTGTATTAAATTTGTGATCCAAATTATGACAACTCAAATGCATTACTTTGCACTTACTCATTCATTTTCAAAATCGATCCAAATCACTCTGTTGTACGTCAATATTACCAATTCAATTAGAAATACCCAAGAGCAAATGCAAATATTTTCCTTATTTGAAAATTTTTTGTGTGCACATGCTAAGCCTTAGATGAAACTCCTATCTCTACATTAATGTGTACTGCACTAGCAATGATGTAATCAGCATTAAACTATAACCTTCGACCAATAGGAGGGCAACACATCCTCAATGTGCAGTAAACCCCAAGAACTCTTGTACCTTAACAACAGCTCATTCTTGACAAGACAAAAGAAACACCCTGGAAGTGAGGAGGAAGTGTGAGAGGTTCTGTGGAGAGGTGAGTGTCTATCAGAAATACATTTTCAGTTAAAGAAAATATTAACTTTAGAGCATGTTACTCATCTTTCCATATATCTGATAGCCAGAATTCCATATTGATAAGATGGTGGTGGGACTGGTGTAGATAAAAACAAAAATTAAAAACATGAGCTCTTTTCTGAAAATATACATCAGAAAGGGAAAACTAATGAAGGGAAGAGGAAGACTAGTGGTGTATCAGTTGATGGGAGACTGCATCCATCTTATGTAGGGAATACTTTTTGGTCAATAAAGGTGTTAGAGCAAAAGGTATTGTCATAACAATCTCTGGAATTGTGCTAAAGTATCATATAGGTAGGCAGAATGTAAAAATCACTCATTTGGCGGTTGGCAGAGCATGGATACAGAGTGTAGTTAGAGCAATAACTCATGCCATATATGTGAGAAATACTTACTAGAATAAGCAGGTGCAGGGAGGAATCATCCCACACCTACATCCCAATGTGAACTCAAGTCCCATATGGCTGGCATAATCACTGGAACTGGTCTGGTTCACAGTGTTGGGGTGGCTTATATTACATTTTTAGGTAAATACCTTAGCCCTACTTCTGATCAAAGAGTATATTTGCATAATCTCTTACCAGACCTGAAGAGAAATTCCATATTGACTTACCCAGCAGATTGGGACCAGAGAAGCAAGGGTTCTTCCTTTATCCCACTACAAGAATGCAGGATGGAGGAATTTACATAGGGGAGAACACTGGCAGAATCATATCTGGTGCTGTCATTTTTTTTCTTTCACCTGAAGTACGACATGGAAGGTAATGAAGTATATAGCCAAAACAGTCTTGTGGAAACCCCAACTCAATAATGGGCACTGAGGCATTCAAGGTAAAATATCAGACGTTTCCCATAATCAAAAATAAAACAATACATCATTAGAGAAAGATGGTACAGGAAACACATTGCTAAAGGTTTAACCCGATGACTATCGGTACTAATAAGTTCTCTATCATTTTTTCAATTCACAAATGCACACTTGCATTGGCCTACTAAGAAAGAAATCCATTAAAAGAATAAAAATAGTACAAATAATTGAATGTTATGCTACTATTTCATTAAAGAATACAATTTTTTTTTAGAGGGCGCTTATTTACAGTCTAAAACGTATTTTAGGAATTTTTTCATTAAATTTCTCTTTAAACTTTAAATGTTTTTCAAAAAATTTTTAAAGATATTTCCTTTCACTTCAGCACAGGTCCTGCCATTTATGATTGGTATCTAAACCTTTTTCTAGTCTGTTTTCTTTATAAAACTGCATCTGGGCGTGTTAAACCTCAGTTGTAAAACATTTAGCCAATCCTAGTCGAACATGTGAATATCAGTACCAATTATTCCAATTGCTGTATCTCCCACTTGACAAATCACAGGATGATAAGGACAGCACGTGATGAAACGTTGTTTTCTGGATTTTACAATATGAATGTGGGTGGTTTTTATTTTAGTAACTGCCATTTTATGTAGAGGTTGTATTTAGTACTGCCAATAGGGCTTTTCTATAAGCGTTAGAAAAGTTGCTTCCCGAAAAACTGCATGGGATGTACGTGACTTTTATTATTTTTATAT